GGGGGGGGGTGGGGGGGGGGGGGGGGGGGGGGGGTGGGGGTGGGGGGGGGGGGGGGGGGGGTTTGAGCAAAGGCCCACCCCCCCCCCCCCCCCCCCCCCCCCCCCGACACACACCCACACCCACCCACACCCACACCCCACACCCGATCCACACCCACACCCCCACCGACACCCGGACTTCAATTAACGGATGAGAAAGAAATACGTTTAGGTTTTTTAACAGCAGTGATTGGCCATATTAGGTTATATTATAATCAACGTAATCATGGAAGTACAGATCAGCATTGTCCAACAGCTGATAATAATTTAAATACAGGTGTAGTTAGAGATGAAACCGATGATCAACAGTAAGAGTATTTCGTAAATTGATGTTAATTATAAAATATCTTCTTTAGACAATAATTATCATCTCAACTGATTAAAAAAAGAAGAAATCCTCAACAAAATTAATTTATTAATTTATTATTTAGCATTTGAATTATGTTCTTCCTGCTCATGTTGGTGGTCAAAACTTTTATATACAATACAAACGATATTTTGATCAAATTTAAACACCAACAACAAAAGTTTGACATTTATTAATTTAAAATATGTTTTATTTGTACGGGTATTTTAGAACAATTTGATATAGTTTGGTCAAGTAAATATTACCAGCAAGGACTGTCATCAATGCAATTAGAACAACTGATTGGAAAATTATTTCTTCTTAAACGTTCATTAGATTATGCTAATGTACATCAGCAATAACAAAAGAAAACAGTTATTACACCAGTATCTATGGATGAACCATCAATTTCGTCGACATCTATCTTTATTTAGATCATTAGTAGCTAATGAAGGTTGCATAAGACCAGCACTTGTGGATTTAGAAAATTTACCAACAGTACTTTAATATATTTTATAGAAATAAGAATGTCTTTAATTTTTGTTTATTTAGTCAGAACTTCTTATTCTATGCGATCGTTTTTATTATGGTCCACTAATAAATCAACTGACTGGAATTGCAAAACTACCAAGTGCATTTCGAAGAATTGAATATTCCCACACTACAACAACAACAGTAGCAGCAGCAGCGACAATAAAGTTCAGATATTCTTTAAAACTTTCGACCTCAACCTCCTATTGAACAATTATTTTTACCACCATATACTGATAATTGGTCATCACCATAAAATCCAACTAGTGATCTTAATATAAGACCAGGAGCTGGATCGATAATCAAGTAGATATTTGAAGATGAAAGAAAAGAAATTTTATTTTTAATGCAACTGACTCTAGTCAATATCCCACACAACCTGAGATTCCACCTTATCAATCACCTAATAATAATCCAACTACTGCTGTTCCTCAACATTTTACACCAACATCAATAATGGCTAATCAACAATTTGTTTATTGTTTCTTGTTGCAGGAGCATATTCTCATGCTAAATATTAGTTTTTACAAATAAATTTTTGTTGATGATATTTTATGTTTTTTATACTAACGAAGGTGTGGATGGGTATCGATGGTTATAAAGGAATCTGCTCTTCACTCACTCCACACCAACACCCTCAAATAAAACAAAAATTCCAAAGAATACCAAAACATGTTCATAAACATCTTCAGCAAAGCCAAGACATTCTTGTATTAAATTTTCAACCGAACTAATCATAAACAAAAAAAATAATAATAAATTATTATTAAAATAATTTTCTTACTTCATAACTTCTCCACCACATGCTAAAGTTAAACGTTCTATATTTCGACGCTTAGCACGTCTTAATACTAAAATTCCTTCTTTAGCTAATACATCAAGTGATAATCGATCACTGCCTTTTTGATTAATAACAACAAATGACTTATTTTTATCATCACCCGAGCAAACTTTTCGTTTAAGTTCAACGACTTTTTGTACACGATCATCAATAAATTTACATTCAGATGCAACAAGACGATCGCGTTCTTCAGCATTTCTATAAAAGAAACCAACATTAACTTCTCTAAACAAAATAATAATAATATTACTTTTTATTTATCAAAAATATTAAATTACATAGGTTTTTTCGTATTCAAGTGAAACATTATAAGTTAAAATAAAAGAATTTTTAAGTGCTTTAGGCATTGATGGATGACGACCATCATGATCAAGAACAATATCACGTACAAGACATGAATCGGCTTCTATTCGATGTTGTATTTCCATGATTTCAACCATATCTAAACAATTGATATCTGTGTGAAGCTACCACAACATGATCATTGAGCACGACCAGTGAAATATTATGACACGTCAAAATGAAAACCAATCAGAAAGCGACAAATGAAAAAATACCACTATGAAGGAGAAGCCCATGGACATGGTACTCCATAGTAACTGTAACATATACCACTGCTATACATACGAATATTGTATTATCGAAAACATGAGAAAAAGTGTATTATTTTTTCTGCGAAATTATTTTTCTGCATAATTTCTAGTGTTCTTCCTATCCTCATAAAAAGCACGCATCTTTCAATTTTCTACTAAAAATCTTGAATAATTTGTTTGAAAAAAATGAAGATGAACAACTTTATGGAAGCAATAGATATATTTCAAAAATAGGAATTTCGTTCTTAATGTTTTATTTATATTATCTCAAATAAAAAAGATATTAATATTTATGACTAAAAAGAATTGATTATACCAATTTAAAAAAAACAAAGGATTATTATCAAATTGATCTTTATTTTATTTATGCTATTAGAGCAACTAGGCTATGAACTATGGATTAATATTCACTGTTAATCTGTTGGAACATCGAGACCTAAAATAAAAATAAAAAATAAAACTAAATGATAGTTTCAAGTTCTCTGCTACTGCTGACATTGTCGTCTCTTGTATTCTCTCATAGAATTTGTCAAGATGTAGCATTACAAAAGAAATGATAACATGTTCTGAACTAAATTAAATAGCATGTGAGATTGTATATTGTACTCAGCTCATTACATGTTACGGAATTATTTTATGCAAGAAGGTTATTGAATATCTTCTAATTAAGTAGAGTAAATATCGTGTTTCTCTACAAATAAAAAAAGATTCAATTCAAAGTACGTTGTTTCGGGAGTGCTATAACGATTTTCTATAAAGATGTGAAGTCTCAGTTGAAAAGTTATTATTTTAGTGAAAATGTCAATAAAATTACTTTCAGTTAATGTTGAAGTAATTGTAATGAGATACATGAAATGAGATTTATCTTGTCGAAATCTATTATCCGATTCATAAACTTTAGAAAAGATTTCTTATGTCTATGTTGTCATAAATTAAGTCGTCATGCTAATTGAATAGCTTTCATGGTCTCCGACTGGTGAACTTTAAAGGTAATGAGCACCAGGTCAGTTTTATCTTTGATGATGGCAATCTCTTTTTGAATTTCAAAAAATTAAAGGAATGAATTATGCTCCCCAAATTTCCATAAGAAGCAGAGGTTGTCTTGTTCTTGTTATTGAACCATGTGAAAAGTACAGATGTAAGAGCAAGCAAACCTTTATGCATAATCCAATTACATAAATCTAGAATACCTTTTTATGTCTTGTAAATTTTTGTTCTATGTTAAATAATGAATTGTTAAACAAACTTTTATCAAGTAATTAATGAGATAGCACGCATATATATATATAGACATATGTCGTAGGTCAATATTATATTGGACTAGTCGAATCTAAGATTTGCCTGATCAAAGTTAGACGAGCCCCGCATTGGACTAGGCCAATCCGAGATTGACCTGAATCTTAGATTAGCCTACGACATATATAGGCCGATATATCTCTATATATATATATATCGCATTTTTCTATCCACTTGATCATATATGTATATATATATATCTTCAATGGGATCGATAATAAAGTTTGTTTTGTTGCTACTCTTTCTGAAATATTCTTTAGCAGGGTCTGTAATTATAACAATTATTTAGCATATATTCACTGTTTTCTTTCGTTTACTTCAAGGTGCAGAAGTACAAATCTTTTGCTGAGTATTTACTTGAACAAAAAATCAATACAACGCTTATAAATGCAGTATCGACCACAACATCAACAACAATGTCAGCATCTATTGGGAAGTATGTTACGAACCATGGGTCTACCGATTATTATGAAATTTTAAGAGTAGTTTTGGGCTGTTTTTGCACAGTGTTTTCAGGAACCACCTGCTATTTTTTGTTTAAATGTATTAGAAATAACAATAAATGCAAAGTAAAATCCTACTTTAACTGTAACAGATGATATTTTCAATTATTTTATAGCCTTCATAGTGGACCATGAAGTATACAAATTATGATGGGCGACATAAAGATAATCAAAGTAGGCCAGTACTTAAAGAACTTGATAAAGTTTTATCTTTGCAGATGATCATCATGAAAACATTGATCTTATGATAATCAAGCAACCACCTATAGCGATTCTCGAATAAATCGATATGTTTGTGTTGATTTAAATGATTAGTAGAAATGTTTTCTTCGTTTTTTTTTTCATAGTTCTTTTTGATTTCAAAAGGTTAATAAAAGTAGTAGTTATTTAACATATTCTGAAATGGCATATGTACCAGTACCTGATGCAAACCATTTTCTCAAGATGATACTAATTTAGGGAAAGAATTTAAAACTAATTCATGATGTGAACGACGACCTTGTTTAGTAAATAATTAGAATAAGACTTGATGTGCTACTAATAAAAAAAGTTTTTTTCTTGCTCAGGAAAAAATGTTCTTACAAGAAGTTCTTATACGATTCGGCTCCTAGATCGACTTATATTAATAGCTGATTAGTTATAAAGAGTTTTATAAAAATTACTTCGGTTTTTGATGCTATATTGATTTATCTATCTAACATATTCAGCGCAGCTGTATTAGCAATAGTTCAAAATATAGAAAGCATAAACAGTTTTATCTTCTTGTGGAGAATAAGCGTAACACTATCATTTCAAGCAAATATTCATGAATGTAGAGCTCTTGTGATTCGAAACGTTTTTCCATTGGTTATTACTTGTTATTTGTTGCTTGACGCTTTGCTACATTGAATGCACTTACCATAGGACCTTCCATCATATTATGAATTATGTATCACAAAGAACTTTTAAGCTGTAAACAACTAAAAATCTTATGAGTTCAATATACAATCAATTGAATTATGAATGTATTTTATTAATCTTGCGACATTATCACGTGATAATAATCATGATCTATAAACGTATTTCATAGTGACGCAGGCAATATAAAATCATCGAAGGCTATTTTATAATTGTTAAGCAATTTTAATATTAGACAATAGAATATGTTGTACTCTAATATGTCTACATAAAACATGAAATATCATAATCAAATGTTCTACTATATTTTGTTAGATACACTCTAATTAAATGGATTTCAAAAAGATTCGCTACAACACTATTGAAATATATTAAATAAGGACGACGGAATAAAATATAAGCTACATTGGCGCCATGCATAGAAATAGTATTTTCAACAATATAATTATTTCTTAGTTGCATCAACCCTATTTGATTTTGAATGTGTATGACCTTGGTGAGGAGTCTGAAGAGAAAAATAGAATAAGAAAAGTACTTTTCAGATACAAAGATACTTACCAAATCATCAGAATCATCTAATCTAGGTTCTGATTTTCTTAAAAGATTTTCTGCCAGTTGATATCTATAATTTTGAATGTTTGAGTTATTAATAACAACGAATTTTTTATTTTGAATATAAGCAAGTGTTTGAATCAATACATGCACACCGCAGGATGACATATCTGTTTGTTGAAATTTTTTATCATTATTTGGACGATATAATGTCCATCCATTATCAAAATCTATAGTAGCTCCTGTTTTTAGCGTTTGCTGTATATTTAAAAAGTTTCCTAAACGAGCCATATTGTCCAATCGAGGAATATCATGTGATGGCATGGAGTCGAGCTCAATAATAAGTTTTTTATTTCGATCAAATATCAGTATGTACCAATGGTTGTTTTGATTGATTGGACACAGTATAATGTCATATGAAAGCCATGCACATCCTAACTTATTTATTTTTCTACGAAGTATATTTGACGTTGTATAACTAGACACAGCTAACACACGAGTTTCTACAGTAGCGGTAGATCTGATGACATATAAAGACGAATTGATTATGATATCATTAAGTAATCCTTCTGCATTGCGGAGACGAGTTATATCAGTAGCATTTAACTCGAAAGGGTCCACGTCAAACTGTCGACTGAAACATGGAAGTAAACCTTTTACAACGTCAACCACTATGTTATCCGGTTCAGGTAATGAATCCAATTTACTTTGATCTATTAACACTTTTCGAAGACCAGTTAAACTAAAAACATTAGCGTTCGTTTTGTATGCAAAAACTATCCATTTCGAGGCTAAAACAGTTTGTTGAATAGGCATGTTGTGCAACAATTCAAATCGCTTGCTATCTTTGTTGAATAAACTGTAGCCATTGTAATCTTTTCTCAGGAATAGAATTTCGTCACCTTCTAGTACAACTAAGACAGTTTGAACACTATATTCAATCTTTGAACTGCTAGATAGCGGTTAAATAGTGAGAAGATCAACATCTTCAATTAATTCGATACACTTGGTACTACATGGTGCACTCAAAAGCATAAATTGGGGTATATCATATAGAATAGTATTTGATAATCCAAATGTATGACATGATGAACACTCAATACTTCTTTGTAGAAAATTATTGAGAACGTCATTGATATGAGTTGTTTTCGAGTCCATTAGATATACATCATGTAATGTTTCTGCAGCAAAATTGTCTGAAAATATAATAATAAACTGGTAGGAAATTCAGTGTCTACTCTTAAAAAACATAAAATAAAATAAAAACTACATCTATGATAGTTCCCGATCAAATAACTTTACTGATATCGGTCATCTACTTTGTTTTCTAAAAGAACTAGAACTGTTGATCAGTTCTGAAGAAAAAGAAAGTAGCGTTCGAAATGAGTTCTCGGAAAAGAACAAGCTCATGATAGCTATGAGTTCTAAAAAGTCTAATGAAAGAATATTCAGCATGATTTCAACCTGACATATCTACTGTTTTTCGACTAAATTACCTTTACCACAACCAGAGTATGTGAAAGATTTGGCGGCTGCAAAATTGAGCACATTAGCTTTACTTGGATCATGCTTTGTAAAATATTCGACTGCATCTTTGAGACATAAGGTAGGAGTTAACGAAGGCCGTTCCTGCGAGAAATTAGTAAAAACATTCCATAAAGCACTTGAGAATACGTCCGTCGATGATGATCGAATAAAGTTTGCTAGTACAATTGACTGCGTTGGAGCTTTTTCTCCGAATATACTTTCATAACTAATTAGGGTCGTTTTCATATCTTCCAATTTATACCAATCATTTCTGTAACGTGCGTAAGTGATATAATGTTCTGAGTCATTGTTTTTCGAACAAATAATGAACGATTGTAATGTGTATTGAGTATATGAGTAAGTAAATATTAAATCATGGGGCATGATTGAAGTGAGATTTATATGTTCGGTTAATTTTAATGTCTTGATGCCGTCTTTTACGTCCGTCGGAACGTGAATAAAAAGAAACTTAGGATAATTCATAATTGAAAAACTGCTGATATTATTTTTGTTGTTCAAACATTTGGGATAATTGTTTTCTGCTGAAACAGGACCGAAAAAATCAGCTAAAGCGTCTGGAAGAGTATTTTCTGTTGCTGTTTGTTGAACAAGTAAGTAAATACATGGCTGCTGATTGAGAACACTAATTTGAGCACATGAAGAACATTGTATCATACTTGCCAAAGAAACCTTCAGATCGATTTCGTAGTGAAGAAGAGTAGGAGCAACAATACAGTTAAAAAATCTAAAACAGTAGGTGGTTTGCTACTTTTTACTTCAAATCCGCACCATATTAAGCAATTGATTGTATTTTTTATCATGTCATCACTGACGATTCGTCTAGCTTCGGTCATATGTTCATCACGTTTAACTAAATAGTAAAGTGCTGTACTAAATTGGTAGATATGATCAGGTGTTAAATCACTATCCATTAAACCGACTCGTCGGACTGTTTGAACTAAATGGCCGGAAGCTAATAGCATTTGCATAGTGCTATTATACCAAGAATTATTGCGTTTGTTCTCGAAGCGCAAAGTTTGTGAAAATTGTCCCACACCTAAACATATACTATTCAAAGCTACTTTTATACCTTTGTTCAATCATTATTAGACTAAAGTGTACATAATTATGCATCATTATCAATGAAGAAAAGGATGTAACTACATTGCAGTGAAACTTATTTCATGACATCATGCATTTTTAATTAAATAATGCTCCATTATTTAATCTATGAAGTTTTAAACTTACTATTGACCATGAAACAAATATTTGATCGGAAGAGATTATGATGCTTTATTTTGTTTAAATAAAAACAGACGGTCAAAAACCAAGAGATAGCGAAACGATTTCTACACATTGGAACGCGTTCTTCTTTATAGCAATGTATGTATTCCAATTCACTGCATAAAAAATAGTTTTCGATGAGTAGAATAATATATTGAACGATTCATGAATTATAAAACCATAGGATATTTTTTGGCTACGAATGCCTACTAATTCATCAAATGAGTTTCATTATCATATTAATACATTTATTATTCGTTAATTACAATATATGTTAATGTCAATTGTTTCTTATGATTTTTCAAAATCAACTATCTGCATTATTCTTCGTTTTATAAAACATTTTAGTCCTGTATTCATTCATGAAAATCGAGAAAAATCTTAATATCAAACAAGTGTGAAGCTAAGAAATTCTTTATTTGAAGACATTATGATTAATTTAATGTTTTCTTTTAGGTGTGTAACTTATTTCAAATCTTGTTCAATATCTAAATTCGTTTTAGTATACTTACTTAATAATAGATCATCGTTTTGTCCTTGCAGTCGAGTATTCATCATTGCTACGATATTTGTCTTTGGTTGCTCGGACGTATACAGACCAAATTTTCTTGTCGTTTTTTTGCGTTTGTTCCATGGTTCTTGTGCAGGCTTACTCTTCTTTGCAGGTAACAAGCGAGTTTTCGTTTGATCAAGTAGATAGTAGTCAGCATACTGTATTTTCATCGCTTCGATGGATTCTCCAAGTTTGACTACAACTTGATCAATGCGACTATATACTTTGTTACGTAAGATGTTTTCTTTCAGAACACGTATTTGTGACTCTGATACACCAGTGGTTCGTCCAAAATGACATGAACAAGATGTTATAATTGCATCAAATCCATAGCCATAACGACTACTAAAATTGGTGCAGTTGGCATGTACTACTTAAGAATCCGTGCGAGAAAGCTTGATGAAAACAGTGAATTGTTTTGCAAACAGTTCCATTTAGGTTCATTAGATGCTTTTAACATTTCAAGACATTTTTTGTAGATAGTGCTGAATAGTTCTTTAAATGAAGACTCCATGTATAATATGGCTTCTTCCTCGCCGAATATTATTTCAGTATCTGTGTTTTCGTCATTCTAGATAAAAGTTATACGATATTCATTCAAGAATTATTGTTGTCAATGATTAGTTTTTCGAAAAAATCCACCATTTAGTCTATTAGATGAGATCTTGTGTTAACCAACAATTCGCATAATTAGTTCACAATTCTTGGGTATAGAAACGATAATGTTTCTTATTTCATCGAGAATTTTTTTTATTGAAGTTTTATGTTTCTGTTCTACGGTTCAACTGAAATATTCTCTTTATCGTATTTAATCATGAGATTATCTGATTTTGTCAATGCTTAACAAATTGTTACCAACTACTAATCAAATTTTATTTACAAAGTTTCTTGATAGATTGATACAGCTGTCAAAAACAATTCACAGCTGAAAAGACTCAATTTATGAAATTGATATCATTGATATTATTCAAGATGCGATAAAGTAAAAAAATACTACTGTCAAATGTAAGTAGTCCCAATTTCAGGCACATAACTATATGTACAGTAGAATTATCGAGTTTGAAACCATCGAGTTTTCTACATACATATCCTATCTATACATGCATATAACACCCTTGAGTACACTTGAGCATAGTTCTTACTCCACCTCAATACGCATCCTTTTTACTGTCATAATTCTGAACAGTTTATATTAGAAATAGAATAAATTAGTTAGTAGCTTTTTTAAATTAAATATTAAACGACTGTAATCAGTATCAATCATAGTTATCAATGAAGTTTTCATTGTTTTCTCTTTTTCTTACATAGATTTTCATCTGATCCTAACTCTAGTTTTCTTTGTTTGGAGATACGTGTATAACGGGATATCTTATTATGGAATTTAGTTCGATTTTTTGTTCATAGCGCAAGTTCTAATATGTTTGGAGAGACTATACTTTTCAATAGAGAAAAGACTAATCAAATTAAAAATAATCTCTTCGAATCGTTCATTAAAATCGATTTCCATCATTTATCATGTCAATCTGTGGACAATTGAACAGCCAATATTCAATATCAGTTTCAGCTTTGCTTAGGAATTAATCCTGTGTTAATAATACGATTTACCCTTTGAGGACGGGATTACTTTTCAAAAAGATCACGTTCTCGAAACTTCGCAATAATATCTCTGCTAGAAAGGTGTATCAGGATACAATACATATGGTGGTGTAGCATCACATCAGTGG